GTAATGTAATTATTATGTTAGCGTATTGTAGGTGTTCACATGTACACGCGCGTTCGTGTGAGAGTCTCTCTGTCTCTATTTCTCACTCGCTCTCGCTCTCTCTCTCTCTCTCTCTCTCTCTCTTTGTGTGTGTGTGTGCGCGCGTGCGTGCGTGCGTGTGTGTGTGTGTGCGCGCGCGCGCGCGTGTATGTGTGCGTGTGCGTGTGTGTGTGTGCGTGCGGGCGTGCGCGCGCTAAGCTTGTCTAAATAGGAATGAATTTGTCAATTCATCATCTATGTGAAGAGATGTAGAGACTACAACAATAGAGCTACACGTAGTGCCTTACTGAACGTTCGTGGACAGTATATATAATATTATATATCAAGAGTAGATAATAGAAGATTTATAGATAATAGTAGATATATAGATCTCCTATTATCTACTTTTGATATATATATATATGGAATAATATTATCAGGAGTCTATAATAAGTATTTTTTGTTATGGACTCGGTATATTATGGATAGTGCAGGGCTGTAACTGAGTAATAATAAGTAATACTTATATAAGCTTGAGTTATATAAGCAATAATTTATAAAATAATTTTATCAATACTATTTAGACGAGGTAAGGGAGGAAACAGAAAATGTACAAATCTATTCATCTATACTCTTGCAGAACGGAATAAAAAATGGCACGATTGTTCTGGGTCACAATAAATCTCTATTATATAGAGTTAGATCATTAATAGCTTGTATTGCATACATCTATTACTTATTCGTGTATGAAACACTGATGCTATGATTTAACCGTACGACGCTCATTGTGGAGCCCATGACCTATCTTAGCAGCACGATTTTAGTAATAAAAATCGCGAAACATCCGAAATGTGACAGAATAATACCGAATAATTCAGATATTCGATTTGTTCTGACACAGACTGTAACCAAATGTGATCAATGATCAATGACTGATCGATCAATGGCCGGATTCGCCTAAAGCTCATATTTGGGCAATGGGATGTCGCGAACCGTCAACGTGACGGGTATAGGGCGGACGTCCGGGCGTGAGCTCTGATGTGGGGTATAGGGTGGACGTCGGGAGATGAGGTTGTGATGTCGGGTAGATAGAAGGGACGTCCCGGGGCGTGAGCTCTGATGTCGTGGTTAGAGCGGACGTCGGGGCGTGAGCTCTGATGTAGCGGGTATAGGGACGGACGTCACGGGCGGCGTGAAGCTCTGATTGTCGCGGGTAAGGGCGGACGTTCGGGGGGTGAAGGACTCTTTTGATGTAGGCGGTATAAGAGGAGCGGAGTCCGGGCGGCGTGAGGTCTGATGTGAGCGTAATGGGGGAGCGTTCGCGGGGGCGTGAGCATCTGAAATGTGCGGGGTATACACAAGAGCGAGTCCGGGGCGTGAGGCTCTGATGTCGCGGGTAGAGGGCGGACGTCCGGGCGGCGTGAGGCTCTGATGTCGCGGGTATAGGGTGGACGTACCGGCGGCGGGAAGCTCTGATGTCGCGGGTATAGGGCGGACGTCGGGCGGCGTGAGGCTCTGATGTCGCGGGTATAGTGGAGTACCGCGCGGCGGAAGCCGATGTCGCGGTATAAGGGCGGACGTCCCGGTGTGCGGCGTGAAGCTTGATGTTGGGGTGAGGGGGGACGTCCGGGCGGCGTGAGGCTCTGATGTCGCGGGTATAGGGCGGACGTCCGGGCGGCGTGAAGCTCGGATGTTGCGGGTAGAGGGCGGACGTCCCGGCGGCTCGCTCTAATTAAGAATTATTATCGATCCGCCATCTAGGCGCATCGCGGCCTACATCCCGCCTGCTCTATACGTTACGAGATGGCGATGAACCGAGCGGGCCCTGCGTACGTGCGCTCTATTGAGGCTAATAATGCAAAAATCTGCAGCAGCAGCAGCGGCGGCGGCGGCAGCAGCAGCAGCGGTGGTCGGACTGTAACATAGAGCGACAAAGGGCTTCACCATCTTCTGACGAGTGTCTTGAGCGTGTACGGCATTGCGGTGCGAGCGACCAGCTATAGACGCGACAGAGCGGGTGAGTCTACAGAGCTTCACGTTCGTAGACGCAACATGAATAGTGTAGCGATATGTAGAGCGAGTGACGGCAGTGCATTTTCCATGGGAAATGGAGCGCGCGTGTAGAAAAGCCCTCTGAGCGTCCATGCTTATTATGAGCTGCGATATCTGTTATGGCGGCAGACCATGAATCATTGCAAGATTCAACGAGCAGCGTCCACTGCGCGTGTTCGCGCTTCGTTATCAACTGATTGCGATAATTACATTCGCATTTGTAGCGTATTTTTTTTACGAAACTCGTCTCGATCTTGCCCTTATGTGTAATTTTGATAGAGCTATATAATATTGACTTGCCAGCATCGATTGCAGATACAGGTCGAAACACGGGCGCAATAGAAACCGTTGACGGGCTGCAGGAACGGACTGCGTGTTGGTAAATTGGTCTATAACAAAGACCATATAATTATCTCCGTGGGCGCTTATTCTTTTCACGTAGTATGTTTAAAATGGAACATTTACTTTGCGTCTACTATATAGGCTCTGTAATATAAATTATTCGCGAACGTTTTTTTTGGGCGGGGGTGTATTATGCTAGGCTTGGAGCTGCTAATATAGTAATATAACAATCAATCGCCGTTGCTACGATTGGTAAATTCGTATCGTTATTCGTTGGTCATGTCTCGTTATCCATAATGACATGATTGGTATTTTCAAGTTTAGTAAGCGCAAATAATATCAATTTAATCCTAACCGTACGCTCATACTCGTATTACATAACTCGTTTATGGTCGTGAGTTTGCTATACCAAAATGCGATCTGCTACCGCATGTAGTTTGAAGGACCTCGCAGCTTTCAATGTGCCCTGAAATTTAAGAAGCAATTGTTAGAAAATCAGAGCATGATACTTACAGGTACAAAAGTTGTAACCTACCTGCATCTAATAACGCTATGTTACATTAGCAAGCAATCCGCCCATGTGTATAATACAGTTCAGGACTCTCCATCATTCGTAGAAACAATTATTTCTCACCAATGAAATTTCTTTTACGTCGGAGTAGATTCAGATTCACAGCGTTATGATGACAGAGGAAACAGCACAGAGCACAACGCCCATCTTCGAAAAACCACATGTCACCAACGTTGACGATGGCGCAGAGGAGGGCGAAAAAAAGACACAAAAGAACGCGTCAAAGTGGACGGTAAAGGGAGAGGAGCCGAAATCGTGGCCTCTGGGCGATACTGTGTTAGATATACACGAAAGAGATCCGAATATGATAAACCAATATGCTAAGGTGATATTCTGAAGATGCATTGTAGTTTCTCATCCTACAAACTCACTACAGATTTTATTTTGTTATTGTCGCTCATGCTTTTTCCGTCTTCTGTTTCTGTGTCGGTCTATTATTCATGTCAGATCTTTCTCATCGTCTTTCAATACTTATTATTAAACCAACGAGTTAAAGATTTGTTTATACCTAACCTACCAATCACTAAAATTTATTACTATTTATTAAACTAGATTTAATTCCTGTTAAATGATTTTTCCATAATATTTTCAGACCTTATTCGGAGACATTTTCGCAGAACCAGAACCAACAACATTCAGTTTCGACGCAATATGGCGGCTTAGTTTTACGGTGGGTATCCATATATATATATAAATATATATATATATGTATGTTGTGATGTAGTGTGGTGTGTGTGTGTGTGTGTAAGTGTGTGTGTGTGTGTGCGGATGTGCTGTGTGCGTGCAGTCGTGCGTGCATGCGTGCGTGCGCGAGCCGCGGTGTGTGGTGTGTGTGTGTGCGTATGGTGTATATGATATCTTGTGTGTTTTATACTCCCCGGTCTTTTTTCTTCATCTCTCTCTCTCTCGCAGGGCGCGCAGTTTATCTCGCCGTACTGTGTGAGGTGTGTATGTGTGTGATGTGGCGTGGTGGTAGCGTGAAGTGCGTGCTATAGTGTGCGTGCGTGCGGTGGCGTGCGTGCGGTGTGTGCGTGCGTGCGTGTGTGTGGGGGGGGGAGGTTCATTTAAATCGAGATGCATATACTGGAACATTTTTCCTACTCCATTCGGGAATGGAACTTATACGATCAATTCCTTGACTAGTTATTTATATCGGTGCGCGAAATGATTTAAAATCTTTGGCGATTTGCTATGTTAGAATTAATAGTTAATTGAAGTACATCATAGCTAAATAAGTGCTCTTTAATTTCACTCATTTCCCTATTTCACATGAAATTTTTTGACGCCGGTATGTGTAAAGTACTGAAATCGTAAGTAAACCATTCTGCGTTAACAGAAAGGACCGTTCAGTTGATTCTGACATCTAATTTAGATTGCTATGTTCAATGCGATCGATGGGATTTCACAGGTGTTCACAGTGAGCGAAGGTGTGGTGATTTATCGATACTCAGGCGCTCTCTCGACTCCGGCGGGTGGCCGCGTTTGGCTGGGGATTCTACTTGCAATGCATGTCCCGTAATTGGTGTCTGGTGGCTAGTGGTGCCCTATGTAGGGCATCGCGCACATCTGCTGACTTGGGCTTTAAGCAAATGTGGCGTCACTAAAGTGGCATTTGTCGGGAATTTTTCGCGGCCGTGGGTAAATCTTTGAGGGAATTGGCAATAACGTCCTATAACAATGCACATTAAAATCGTAAATGGCGCTTGAAATTGTTGCGTGTATTATAAACTTAGATGTAATAAACATACATTACGCGATCTAAGAAGGGAAGCATGCATGCCTATGCCGAAACGGTGATGTGTAAAGCTGTATGTTGAATTGTGGGCATATCCAAACCACGCAAATCGCAGGCTCCGAGCGCAGCACGCCGCGAGCTATGATATGAATATATAAAATAATATATATATATATACAAGACTCCGATGTATTATACTATATTTTATATCTAGACTGTATAAGTGCGCCTCGCTATATTAGTATTGGTCAATATAATATATTGTGGAATATTCCGGTAAGGTATATAATATATATATATATATATACATCCTCTACACCAACCAATATGTAGTTTTTATATAACTGCGTCATATACGCCGGAAAAACGATTTATATATATACATACGTATATATATATACGTACATGATATCGTTTTTTGGCATATATATATATATATGCATTTAATGTGTCCATCGCATTTATGCGTACCGGATTTAACTTCGAGCTGCAATTTTCCGAGATATCTTTTTTTATTATGCCAGTTCAGGTTATTGTCCTGGTAAATATGTGTATGTTCATAAGTATATACATATATATGCACTAGTACATTCGTTATACAGCATTACTATTGTAATTTTTGTTGCATGCTATCTGTAGGTAACTCTCGCCTGCGTACAAGCTGACCTATTGCAAATAATACATCCAACGGGTTGTTGAAATTGTTTCAATTGTTGCTGCCAATGCCGTAGAAGTAAAAGTCGGCGGGAATATTATTCTTGGAATTTGAGTATATTTATATTTCATGATGAAAGTCGGTCGTAGCACCTATGTAATTGAGACGCGCACTGTCAACAAAGTGTTTATATACGACTTTCGCATTTTACTACGACTGATGACGATCATCTGACTAATTTTCTAACATTATACTAAAGATATATTGCTATGAAGACGTTTTATACTATGTAGTGTGTTAAAACGTACTTTAATTCAGTCGTAACACGGTTTAGCAAATTTACACTCGCACATATAGGTATATTTTACATGTGATAATTGTTTATATTTATTATAAAACAACTATCATGACAAAATCAAAATACAGTAGGGTGGTGACGAAACTGATAGTTAGAATATGAGATGTATGGAATAGGTATAGATCTTATAGAAATGGGATACAAATTGGTTTCGTTTCGTCTTCCAATGCATTATTAGTATAAACTAATAAGAACTACTGCAAGCATAACAATACAATAGTATGTTAGCCTCCATCCATCCCTCACATGCAATACAGTAAAACGCCTCTACAATACAGACAAAGAATACATGCCGCTTGCCTATCACACCCCTTTGTGAAAAGTAATGCTAGGTCCCGCGTATGGTTTATTTTTCTGTATATAAAAGTCAAAATTACAAATTGTATGTTTACAGCGGCCTTTGCATACCAATGAATATTTATCAATCTATCAACTGTTCCTGCTGCTACTACTACTACGATCTACTACTACTACTACTACTACTACTACTACTACTACTACTACTACTATACTACTATCACTACTAGTAGTAGTAGTTTTTGCTTATTATTATTATTATTATTATTATTATTATTATTATAAGCACTTGTTTCTAGTACAATTCCAGGTGTTATTTAAAATTGGTTTCACTACCAATTATTACCGTGAATAACATCAATATAGTTTTTAATTGAAACGTTTCGTGAACTAACGTATGAAATAGAAACGCTCGATGTACACCGGTAGATTTGTAGTTGTGTAGCACGCGTGACGAGTTGTACTTTTTCCATTGCCGGTCTCTTGAATATGTCGTCTGTTCTCTATATATCCTCTATTTTCGATGGTGATCGATTGTATAAATATAGTAGTATTACTAAATCAGGAGTACATTATAACACAAAAGTATTACATTATAACAGATAACAGTAATAATTATAATGTATTCCTGATATTAAATAATAGTAATTAATAATGAAAACGCACAGAATAACTTATTTCACTTGTGTATCATATCCCTTGTTCGTGTTCATTCGATTACTAACCAATATAGCTATAGATGATTAATTTTTAGATAGCTGCGTGTATCAGTGGAGCACGTAGCAACACTTTCGGCTGGTCTTGCTGTTTGTAAAGCGATGCTGCTCCGCCGCTCGCGAGTGAAATTTTCGCAGCTGGCTCAAGAACCTGCAAATAAGAATCGAACGGCGTAAATTTTATTACAACAGCGAGGCATATGCGCCGCGCACTCTCCCTAGCCTTTATTCGTCTATCACATTATGATCGCACAGAAAACACGAGAGAATATTATTTATTATTAATGCACTCACGGTAATGGAATTTTACATTTAAATGCATAACAGACTGGGGTTCACGTTTATACTGGAGTGCCATTAATCACCTCATATACGGTGTTTAAATACGAGAGTCAAGCTAATATTATGACTGTACAAATATAGCGCACTTGTTTGCCCAAGCGACACTCTTCAGACATGTCATCTAATATTGTTATATTGATATATATATATATATAGATTATGCACACGAACCTATCTAGTCTGATAATAAGATCTCCAGTTCTAATCTGCTGACCCCTAGTGCATTCGAAGTTCTCCATATGCCAAACCTGTGCGATAATCCGAATATGCGATTTACACAGCTATAAATGTGCCATGACGTAGACATACTGACACACGCAAACCATTTCATTCAAACATTCCACTCACGTAGTAAAACGAATCCGCTGTAAGTTCAAGCGTAAACGAATGAATTATAGATCGTTTTAGTCAAATTGCGATGTTACTATTTGTTCATACTGATGCTTCGATTACTCATATGCATTGGACATGCGACGTTCGATACTGTTATGTAATATGTATTGCTATATGTCCATTGCAGGGTGCATGGGCGCAGTAACACGCACGGCATAACTGAACAAACCTATATACAGCTGAGTCTAGCGCTAGCCGGCTTACCTCTTCCCAAGTAATCATCGTAGGGGCTAGCGATGTCTGTCGCACTATCTGCCAGGGTATTCGACATTTATGTCGGCACTGTGGAAACAGCTTCCTGGCGCTGGTAAAGGACGCGATTCGAAATACATATAATTCTGCTACCATAGCACATTTAGAGGTGGCGATGTTTAACATTTAGGCTAAATACCAGATTATAGCGTAAGAGAAACTAGTCACGAGGCACAACGTAGAATAGAGGCATGCAACGACCGAATAGACATTAAGCCTAGGTAAAGCAGGGGAGGGGGACCACTACCTAGACGCCATGATGTACTTGTAACCGTTTCTAACGACGTATGGAGCCTGCCAGTTGTCCAGATATACGAGACCTGCGACGCTCATTCCAGTTTTCTGATCACACACAAATGAGTAGAAGCTGAAACATGAATCAGGCCAATGCAGCAAACCGTTTAATTACATCTAAAAATTGACCCTTGCACAATGCACATTTTTCTTCGCAGTTTATTCATGTTTATAGCATCATGCAATGGCCGAAATCGTTTCATTCATATTATATGAATTGGCAACCATAATATACACTTATTCTCACGTACAAAAAGATATAAAACTATGTTGCTTTCACTTGCATTTAATCACGTGAACATCTTGAATATTGTTGTTGTTTCAGTTTAACATAATTATTTCCAATTGGTGGTTAAAACTCGCGACGATAATATGATTAAATAATTAATTAAGGTAATGTGTCATGTTACCGGCAGCTAGGCTCCTCCTCGGGGCTAGCATCTTTGTTTGCTGCCATTCTGTTCGCCGAATCCGTAGACATCTGCTTTAACTGTTCATCGTTTATCGATAATCGCACTCCCGTGTTAGAAACGGTAGGCTGCTTGGCCGCCTCGGGCACGCTAGCGGTGGTCGAGCCTGCGCATGCGTCATCACGGGCAGGCAAGACGTGAGCTGATTGGTGGTCGGCAACATCTGCTTCTTTAGGCTCTACTACGCTGGAATCTTCCTCCTCGGACTCGGTCAGGCTGGAAGTTCTCTTTTTAGGTTCAACAACAGTGGAATCGAATTCTTTGCGGGCACCCTCGCTGGAAGTTATCTTTTTAGGTTCAACCACGCTTGCGTCTAGTTTTCTCGGCTCAGCGACGCTGGAATGTGACTCTTTGCGCTCGATTTCCGTGGAGTGCGCGCGTCTGTGCTCCACTTTGCTGACAGTTATACATCGCTGTTCACGCGTGCTCGAGTTAAACAGATAGTCGGTATGTAGTAGCCGCTCTATCGACTCGAAGATATTTCGAGCGTGGGTGTGATGAGCTTTAGGGGCTACGGTAGCTGCGGGCTTCTGCTGGTTTGTTTCATGTGGCAGTGCAGTGAGCTGCGGTGGTGCCGGTCTGTTGTGTGGCGGTGCAGTGGGCTGCGGTGGTGCCGGTCTGTTGTGTGGCGGTGCAGTGGGCTGCGGTGGTGCCGGTCTGTTGAAGAGCTGCGAGAGCGACGGTAAATCGTCTACGTGAGAAGAGCAGGCGGAGGGGGAAGAGGAAGAGGAGAAAGATCCGTCCAGCTGCCACTCGTCATGTGACGACACGACGATACATGTCTTTTCCTCGCCCCACAGTGACGACGTAATCGATGACTGTGACGTGGCGACGCTGCGTCTGCTGCCGTCTGCGTCGCGCGCAGCGTCAGATCGGGCTTGCGTCGGCGCGCTCCTAGGTGGTAGACTTTCGCCACTCTGCGGCTTGCTGTGAATAATGCGCTCAATGATCATCTGCTCTCGCATAAGCTCCTTGAATGCGTCGCTCGTCGCAGCACGCTCCACAAG